TGTTAGTCAGGGTTAGCCCCACACAGAGGGTGCTTTCAAAGAGGTGAGAGTCTTAGGAGGCGGTAGAATCAGGGAGTGATAAGCAGAGTGATTTTAAATACCAAATACTAGTTTTAAGAATTTGAATAAATGATTTAGCAGAAGTGAATAGACACATAAACAAGTACAGAGTTTGAGTTGATAGTACATAGTTTGTAATTGCCTTGAATATGTTTTACACTTTTCAATTATTTTTTTTTAATTACAGGTATGAGACAGAATAACTCACATGAGGATTGGTTTTTAACGGAAGAAGAGTTTAAATTATGGAACACACTCTATAGATTAAGAGACAGTGATAAAATCAAGGAGATAGCATTGCCTCAGGTTCATTTCCCGTCTTTAGAAGAAGCAGAGAGTGGACCGGTGAGTTCTGTATGGTGAATGTGTAACGGCTCCGGCGATATGGGAGGCGTTTGTGGTGTTTGTGCTGCCGGAGGAGCGCACGATGTTTCTTTTTGGAAACATCAACTTTGTTTTTTTTTCACGCACAGAATTTATTAAGTTATCACTGTACACTCAGTGCTCAGAGCAGGCCAGGCCCTCGGTTCACTGGACTTCAGCCTCCTGAGTGCTGGAATCACAGGCTTGGGTCCCCATACTAGCTTAGCCTTAACTTTTACTATCTCCCTGAGTTGCAGATAACTTTTCCAACACTGCTGTGATAGAACGGTGCAGGCCAAGCAAGCCATGCACGCAGTTCACAGCAGGCTAAAGACTGCACACGCGTCCAGGAGGAAATGGCAGAGTTATTTTCTTCTAAACAAGAAAGCATGTTTTCCCCTCTTGGTGCAGTTTAGATACACACAGTGGTCAGATTCGCCGCAGCAGATTTGTACCTGTGCACGAAATGTCTTGAATCCTTTTTTCTTTTCAGTTTCCTTCCCTCCCTTCAGCCCTTCTTCCCCTCCTTACTTGTAAAGCTCTGTTTCCATTTTGTCCTTCTTTGATTACGTTTTCCCTTTTCCTTCCTTTCCCTCTCCCCTGCCCTCATTCCTCTTCTTTACAACAGTTGCTTCCTACTGCACATACCTGTTGCACACTTTGTTCTTACTGACCCTTTAGTTTCTCACACCAGAGGAGCGATGGGATATTTACACTTGCGGGTCCAGTATATTTCACTTCAGAGTATGGTCTCAAAGTGCATCCATTTACTTAGAAATGTCTTAAGTTTACTCTTCTTTATGGCTGAGTAGTACTTGATTATTAAAAAAAAACCCCACGTCTTTTTTTTATCCATTCCTTAGTTGATGGGCTTTTGGGCTGTTTCCAAGATTTAGCTGGGACAAACTGTGCCACTGTAAACATGGGTGCACACGTATTGCTGTACTGTGACGTTTGTAATTCTTCCAGGAAGATCCCCACGGGGGAGCAGCTGGGTCAGATGGGACCTCTAATCCTAGTTTTTGGAGGACTCTCGACACTGATTTTCACAGTGGTGCACCAGTCTACACTCTCACCCACAGTGGAGAAGGGTTTCTTTTTCCCCCACATCCCCTCCAGCATTTATTATTGATTGATTTCTTGATGATAGCCATTCTTCCTGGGGTGAGATGGAAGCTCAGTGTTGTTTTAATTTGCTTCTCTGGAATGACCACTGAGGTTGGACATCTTTTTGTATATTTATTTGCTGTTTGTATTTCTTACTCTGAGAAGTTTACTCGAACCATGTCTCTCACTAGGTACTAAACTAAAATTGAAATGGGTCAAAGATCTACATATTAAAACAGAAACACTAAGTATGCTGGAAGACCAAATAGGTAGAACATGTGAAGACGGAGGTATAGGCAAAGATTTAATGATTGCACGGGAAATACTACAAAGAATCAACAACTAGGATCTCACCCTTTTAAAAAGCTTTTGCACAGCAAAAAACATTACCAATAAAGTGAAAAGATAACCCACAGAGCGGGGAAAAAATTTTAGCCAGTTGTCCCTGAGGTATAGGACAATATGTAAAACATATAAAGAATTGAAAAAATCAGACCACCCCAAATTTAAAGCCCCAATCCAAAAATGGGCATCTGAGAGGAATACACATTCTCAGAAGAAGAAATACAAATGGAATGTCAACTTTAAAAAGGAGTAAGTAATCAGTTTAGAAAGGAGTTATTGATGTCTAACTTTTAAAAATTATTAATTTTCTTATTGGTTATATATGGATTTTTAACATAAATTTTGTTTTTTCTTTACTATTTTTACTATATAAACAATTCTCTCTTTCTCTCTCTCTTTTTTTTTTTTTGGCCACAGGGTCTTGCTGTGTATTCCAGGCTGGTCTTCAACTCACTATGTAGCTCTGGCTAGCCTCGAACTCATGGCAATCCTCCTGCCTCAGCCTCCTAAGTGCTGGGATTACAGGAATATGCCACAATGCCCAGCAATATAAACATTTCTAAAATAGATACAGTCTGACATAGTTATCACTTTCATTTGTAATCTTCCATAGTTTGCTGAGTTATTTCCCTGATGTGTTTTGAGATTCTTTTTTGTATTTTAGTAACAAATTATATTGTTATGTCTTTTTTGTACAAACTAGTTTTGTTTTGAGGTTATATTTAAAACTTCAAACTGCATATGTTTTGTTGTTTTTTTTGAACAAATTATTGTTGAGCTGGAGCCGGCAACATGACTCAGCAGTAGAGTGCTTACGTAGTGCATCTGGGTGCCTGGGTTTGATCCCCGGCACCAGCACCTCCAAAAAAAAAAAGCAAATTATTCGTTAGCTTACTACAAGTGAAGAGTGGCATACGTGCAGAGGAAGCTGGAAAGACAAGGTCTGGAGTGATTTCTTTTAAAGGATGTATAGAGGTTGTAACTGAGTGTTCAGATTTTCATCCTGAGTGGGAAAGTGGGGAATGGCAGCAGGTACGATGACTGGGGATCAGTATCTGCAAGAGATGATGGTGCCTCTTTGCTCGAGTCCAGAGTCACAGTCTAGCATAATGGTACTTTTGAAGCCAAACATGTTTTCTTAAGTAGTTGCTCTTTACATAGAACTATAACGCAGGAGTGTGGTCAAGTTAGAAGTAATAGAGCGGTTACGTTAGAATGTATTTAAAAGGGTGTCTTTGCACTTTATGAACTTACTTTCCTTTTTCTGGATTTTAGTCGGCACTGCCTACTTGAACTCAAATTATTTGTGTTAGGCTTATTATCTACCTCTTAGGAGTATTTTAAAACCAGTTTATGAGATCTCAGTGTGTATGTGTATCTGAGCTTGTCATTTTTATTGTTTTAAAATCATTAATCAAGATTCCAGAACCCACGCCTGGGACTCATCAGCTCTCTCTCGCAGAGTGGAGAGTGTGGCAGGATCACGCCTTTCCCACACACCAGGTTGGCCATTCAGAACGGTGCCACCATTTTGTAAGCGTCATGCAAATGATAGAACGGATGAGACACGAAGAGGTAGAGTTTTATTATGACCTTCTCTTGTTGGTATGATAAGGAAACTGAAATCCTTAACTTTTTTTTTTTTTTTGTCTTTTTGAGACAGGGTCTCACTGTGCAGTTCAGACTAGCCTTGAGCTCACTTTGTAGCCCAGGCTGGTCTCGAACTCGCAGTGATCCTCCTGCCTCAGCTTCCTGAGTGCTGGGATTACAGGTGTGCACCACCATGCACAGCTTAACTGTTTTTTTAATTTGAAGACATCATAACAAACCGAAGTATTATAAATAATTATAGCTCAAAATATTTAGTTTTTCTATCACTCCTTGTGATATAGGACTCAGTTTTCTGTCTTATGAGAAAAATAGACTTAATTGATTAGAAGAATATAATCTGTACATATTAGATCGGAGTGAACTTTTAATATTTAACGATTTGTGTAAACTTTATAAAGTAATTTAGGATTCTTGTTACATTGAGATTCCCTGAAATGTTGTCAGTCATGTAGATCATTAGGTATCTCTTGTATTCTGGTGGTAGTTTAGGGAATTATTGATTTCTTGGTCAGTTTCCTGTTTTCTTTTTTTTTTTGTTTTTTTTTTGTTTTTTGGTTTTTTCTCTGGTACCAGGAACCGAACTCACGACCTTGCGTTTGCCAGGCAGGCGCTTTTGCCGCTGAGCTAAATCCCCAGCCCCAAGTTTCCTGTTTTCTTTGAGAGAATCAAAATACTAAACTGATTATGAGTATGAAATCCATTATGCCTGGATTGGAATTCTAACTCTTACTAATTGTATGTTTGCAAATTATTTAATCTCTTTCTCCCTCAGCTTCATCTATAAAATAGAATAATAATAGTACTTCACAGAATTGTTCTGAGAATTAAATGACTTAATACCTTTAAGGCACTTAGAATAGGAACTAGTACATATTATGTGCTCATAAATTGTAGCTGTTTTTATTGTTTATGGATACATGCATGTAAAATATTAGTTGTGGACCCCACCAATTAAATTAACATGTGTTTACTGAGTTCCTGTTATTGTCTGTGCTCCATCGAAGGCCTTATGGCCACATAATGTTA